AAGGCGAGGCTCACCACCCATTTATCCCTCCGCCTTTCAATTAGCCCCACATGTGATTATCGGCCAGGCTGGCACAATTAACTAACTCACTCAGGATAACATTTTCTAACTCCATCCATGTCACAAGGGGTTTCACAGTTTCATCGTTATTGTTTTGTGATGCGTAGTGTTCCATTGTGTGTATATACACCAAAGTCTCTTTATCCATTCTTCCATTGATGGATATTTATATTGTTCACATTGTAAACTTTTTGAAAAATTCATGGGGAAAAGGCAAGCCTCATGACATGGTGGTTCAAAACCATCAGCCTGCTCTTTGGGAGAACCTGAGGCTTTCTCCTCCTGTCAAGAGTTCTAGTCTTGAAACCCACAAAGGCAGTTGTGCCCTGGCCTGGAGGGTTGCTACAAGTCAGAATTGATAGCTCTGAGTTTTAGTTTATTGGTAGTGTTTCGATGATTCTCTTCTAGACTTTTTACTACCCATGTTTTTCCTTTTGGGTGATTATAGTACATGTTTGTTTGTTTACTTGTTTATTCGTTCATTAGTCTTACTTTGTATGCTTCATGTGCTAATCTTTATAATGGAAGTTCCTTTTAATGGCTGGCGTCAGTTTGTTCCTTTTTCTTTGTCCAGCCAGAGATGAAAGAAGCATCTTAAGAGCAATCTTTAATTTGTTCAGACATGCAAAGCAGTATACAAGAGGGTTTAAAGAAATTTGTGGAAGAATTACATTATCTTTCTATTTAATTTTTCCATGAACTTTTTGAGACCCCTCATATATTTGTGTTGAACAGATACTTAGAAAAGGAAACTTGGTTTAATTTACACCTGTTTGATACCTCTTTGACATGTATACAAACTCTTGGTGGGCATGAAAATAGCTTATATGTATACCCTATGCAGCAGCAGCAACTGTAATTTTCATCTTTAGCCCTGCAGATGGAACAGTTGGCATTTAGTAGCTATTATTTTCTATTTATATTAATGTCACTCATACTCAGCACTATTTTTAAGCTGTTCTTTTTGCCTACTAATTCTTTCTGCTTTAGTAATAATATTAGTCTGCCTGCTGCTGAACACTTTGTAAAGCATTATCTTTCTTAAATACTTATTTTAAAAGCTTATGAAATAGATTCTTTTAACCAATCAATTGAGGCTTAGGGGTTAGGTAGCTGGCCTCAGATACGTGAGGGGCTGGAATTTGTTTTCCGGAGCTCCCACTCTTAACCACTGTGCTGCTCTGCTCTGTACAGAAATTACCCCTATTGCAAATACGTTAATTAGCATTAAAGTCTGGTAAACGTATGCCAAAGAGAAACACACATTTTATCAAATTGTGTTAAAAGTAGTGTTTCTTCTTTTCTTTCCTGACATTTAAATAATACCGGAGTCTTTTAGTAAACCTAAGTGAACCAGACAAGGTATACAAGCACTGAAAGGAATCATCCATTTTCCCCTCAAAAGTACACAGAAGTGGATTAAGATCCCAAGAGCATTGACAAAATGGCACAGATAATAAATCCATTAGATTAAATTTGAGAAAAGTAAATTTTTTGAAATCTTGTGTCAAGCGATTTCCCCACCACTTTTCTCATTCTCTTTGTCAGCATTCTGAGTAGCCTTTTCTTGAATCTAGAAGAAAACCCTCCTGAGATGATAATGAATATGCATAAGGCTAATTCTGCTGTTATCCTACCTGAGGCTTGTGAGTAGTTTAGCAAAGGCTAATAAGAGCTTAAGGAATAGTATCATTTGCTTCTTTGTCCTTTCCCTTGCAAGTTTACTTTTTCTCTCCTACTTTCATTTACAGCAAGTACGTGCTCAACAGCCTCAAGAATCCAGATTAGAAGTCTTAGGCAGCTGAGTGGTTATGTCAGAATGCCAAACAACTGAAAACTTTCTAGATGTCTGTTCTCTTTCTTGTGTGTCATCTGCCCAGGGGAGGAAAACAAAGCAAAAACGAAACAGAGTATTGCGTTCACTGAAGGAAATGTCCTTCAAAATGTCCTCATTGCCATGCCAGGAGAGGTTCTTCATGTCCACCTGCCAGCTCTGTGTGCTTTTTTTTTTATTTAGAAGGCAGAACTCTTAGAATCTTCCGTTTTACAAAGGTCACATTTGCATTCAAGTCTCTCTTTGAACCTATATGGAGTTTTACATGTTTTACTAAGTAGATAGGAAATACTGATTTGTAATGGTTAAGAATAGCCTTGAAAGCAAATGTTTTGAGAATGATGATGGCAACAAATGTACAAATGTGCTTGACACAATGTATGGATGTACGGATTCTGATTAGAGTTGTACAAGCCCCCAATAAAATGATTAAATTTAAAAAAATAGCCTTGAAGAGTTGAATTACAAAATTGTACAATTTGAAAGACTTGGGCGTTCTTATCCCAAAACGTGTCCCCTCCCCCCAGGATAAGGAGTAGTGATGGCACCCTGTAGGTGGAGTGCTTAGTTAACCCAAATGTCTGCAGTTTGAACACACTAGTCACCGTGGAAGGAAGAAGTGGCAGTGGCTTCTGTAAAGATGTGCAGCCAGGGAAATACTGAGGCAGTTCTACTTTGTCGATGTTAAGTAGGCTTGGCTAGAGAAACACACCAGTGACACTCATAAGAACGAATTTTTTATCAAGAAGTAATTTTGTATCAAAAAGGGATACAGTCCAAATCAAGTCCATGGGTCTGCTGCTAGCCAAAGCCCCCTTCAGATTCATGTAGCTGCATGCTGATGGCAGCGAAAGGTGAAGTCGGTGGGTGGTGCAGGCTGGTGGGTGCAGTCACTTGAATCCCAATGTGGTGGGAACATGCCAGGGCACAGACAGCCCAGAGCTTGGCTCCCAGGGTCAGTGACCCACGTGGGGCCACCCCTGAGGTAGACACAGAGTCTCAGCAAGGAGGAAGGCAAAGGGGCAAGAAGTCTTTCGCAGTGTCTCTTTTATAAAAAGGCCACACCCTTAAGGAGCCATCCTGATTGATAGGTTGGACTTCACCCCTACACACTCACACAAGTGCAATTTGGCATAAAATGTAGCTGATTTCTACTCATAGTGACCCTGTAGGACAGTAAGACAATTAGATTTTATAATATATGAGTATCACTGTTGGAAAGAGGACTGTAGCAGATGTCCTGGACCAGTGGTTCTCAACCTCTGGGTCGCGATCCCTTTGGGGGTCAAACAACTCTTTCACAGGGGTCACCCGATTCATAACAGTAGTAAAATGACAGTTATGAACTAGCAACAAAAATAATTTTATAGTTGGGGGGCACCACAACATGAACTGTGTGAAAGGGCCGCGGCATTAGGAAGGTTGAGAACCACCGTCCTAGACCCTAAGATTAGGTTCATCTCTGGTACTAGCTAATATCATTTATTTACCCTCCCTTGGTCCTTAATTTATTCAGTCATTCTGTTTTCCTGGTAAGTCTCCTAAATTCCTGAAATCCACACCCTGCTCAAGCTTTGTCTCTCCTTTCAGAATATCCACCTTTCTGTTTTGGGGCCATCAAGAGTTTTCATTCATCATGGATAATCTGTCTTCAGAAGAAATTCAGCTGAGGGCTCACCAGGTTACTGATGAGGTAAATGTTTTACTTGGAATAGATAATTCATTCCAGGTCAGTTTTCATGGTGGGGGGATGAGAGCTCCTTCTTAGAAGAGAACTTTGGCTTCTTCCTCCTCCCTTTCTGTCCAAGAATGCATTTGCACCAGAGGCCCTTTACTAGCTCATTTTTAATCTCTGCAAAACTAATTAAGTGAAACAATTCGGTTTGGTGATAGTCATTATTTGAAATTCTGAACTTATTTTTACTTCACAGAATTACTTAATATCTATATTATACCTAGATTTTTATTTATATAGCATTTAGTTGGAAGAAAATAACTAAAATTATAGATATTGCTTTTCAATATTGAAAAATGAAGTTGAAATTCATATAACATTTTAAAATGAATAGTTCAATGGTATTTAATGTATTCACAGTGTTGTGAGCCACCAGCTTTCTCTAGTTTGGAAACATTTTCATTACCAAGAAAACACCCCATGGCCCTGGTGGCACTAAGGTTAGGCTGTAAAATTGTGTTCCAGCCCACTCACTGGAGGATGATGAGGTTGTCTCCTTCTGTATAGCATTGCTATGAGTTGGACTTAACTCGATAGCAGTGGGTTTGTTGCTGTTGTTGTTGCTGCTTATCCATTAAGTACTCACTCCTCATTTTGTAAGCTTCTCCATGTCATGGTAACTTTTAATGTGCTTTCTTTTACTGTAGATTTGCTTACCCGGGATATATAATGAAAAAGTGAATTATGCAATATATGACCTTATATATCTGGCTTATTTCACGAAGCATAATGTTTTCATGGAGGCACAGCATGTATCAGTTCTTAATGCCTTTTTTTTTTTTTTAATGTGTTTTTTTTTGTTTGTTTGTTTGTTTGTTTTATTTTTTATTTTTTATTTTATTTTTTTAACATTTTATTAGGGGCTCATACAACTGTTATCCCAATCCATACACACATCAATTGTGTAAAGCGCATTTGTACATCGTTTCTCAAAACATTTTCTCTCCATTTAAACCCCCGACATTAGGTCCTCATTTTTCCCCTCCCTCCCCGCTCCCCCCTCCCTCATGAGCCCTTGATAGTTTATAAATGGGTATTTTGTCATATCTTGCCCTGTCCGACGTCTCCCTTCACCCACTTTTCGGTTGTCTGTCCCCCAGGGAGGAGGTCACACACAGTTCCATGTCTTAATGCCTTTTTATGACTGAATAGTATTCCATTAGATGTGTGTGTATCCATCCCTTTGTTGATGGATCTTTGGGGTGGGCTAGCAATTCTTAAAGAGACAGCAGGTAAATAGTTCTTATAAGTGAGTATAATTATGAATATGCCTGTGATCAGACTTTTGATGTTGTTATGTATTTTGCAATATTAAAAACACTGTATTTTTTCTAGTCTCTGGAAAGCACAAGGAGGATCCTGGGTTTAGCCATTGAGGTAAGGAAGTGTTTAATCATTATGTTCAGTACAGACACTGGATAGGGAAAGATCCTCATAGCACTAGCTGCAATTGGTGTATTTTCAATAGCCGTTGCTCAAACTTGTTAAATCAGGCACTAATGAACCCTTTCCATTTTTCCCCTTTGACACTATGGAATGTGACAAGGAAGATCAAGTTGCCCTGAGTTTGTAACTTAATTATTTAAAGGGGGTTAACATGTTAAAATGTGCTGGTTTAGGACCACTACTTCTGTTTTAGCTCTACTGTACTGAGCACTTGCTTGTTAAATGCTTCTATCTTGCTATTTGTCAGTCCTTATATACTTTGTTTTTGTTGTGCTATTGGCTTTTCCCTTCTTTTAGTCTCAGGATGCAGGAATCAAGACTATTACTATGCTGGATGAACAAGGAGGTGAGTTGAAGTTACTGGCAGAAACTCTTGATTTGATTTATGGCAAAAAAACAAAACAAACAACACACATACATGCACTCACACAAAACAAGAACCCTATTAAATTACCCATGTATGAAGCTTAGCCTTTGGGAGCAGCATCTTTCTTTGATAAAAATTAAAGAGTGATACATTTCTTTTCTTCAGATTTGAATTATATTTATTACCTTTTTGTGTATGTGTGGTGGGCAGCGGGGATGGTGGACAACAGTGCTCAATTGTATGCCTAGTATTTTAGGCAATGAGGTTATTGATTGTCTTATGGTATGGATTTGGTTATATGTAGCATTACACATTATGAAATGTTTGTGTCATCTTTAGAGGTCAAATTAAACCTGAAGACAGGCCTAGATTGTAATGAATTTGGAATTGTCCAATTTGAGTTGGCCCTGAATAAACTGGTCTAGCTTTTATTAGTTTTATGACAGTCTTTAGGTTTTGGGCCTTTTAAATGATAGATAATATTGAGTAGCTGATTTTGTCAAGTATACTTAATTTGGTTTTAAGGATGATTTCTAAATAAATACTTCCATAACTCGTAGTGTATAAATTTCTGAACAAATCTTTCCACAATAAGAGAGGCCAGGTGCCTCTCAGGACTGGTATGTGAAAAGTTGTTTGCATGTTGGATAGCTTGTGCTGTCTTCTGACTCTGATGTATTCACTGCAGAGGTCAGTGGTAGATTCAGAGCTGAGCTTTGCTAATCCATAAGAGCATCTTTCAGACATTATGAATATAACACAAAAAAATTCCCATGACTTGTTCATAGAACAACTAGACCGTATAGAAGAAGGCATGGACCAAATAAATAAAGACATGCGGGAGGCAGAGAAGACTCTAACAGAACTCAACAAGTGCTGTGGCCTGTGTGTCTGCCCATGTAATAGGTGAGTTGATAAATCAAGACTTTTAAAAAGTGTATTTCAAATTAACTTTCTACTTCAACCCCTCTCACCAAAGATCAGATGTGTGACTGGTTAAATACACTTAAGATATTTCTCCTCCCAATTCTACCTACAAATCTGGCTAGACCAGAGGATGTACACTGGTACAGATAGGATCTGGAAACAGAATCTTAAACCAAATGACTATTTGAAATGGAAAGAAGGAAGAATAAAAAAGAAAAAAAACAAACGTGAAGATTTGGAGTCACCAGTTGTGGTAGATATATAATCGTTTGTAAATTTGAGGATTAAGAGTGTAGGGGTGGAGTCTAGGTTGTCAATCAGATCATAGCCAGTGAGACCTCTGTGTGGGCATGGCCTTCTCCAGAGAATTCTGGGAATTCCGGTATTTCCTCCTTGGAGGTGGGAGACCCTCTGCACACACCCTGCGAGACATAGCAGCTGACAACACACATGGACCCACCCTGATGCAGAGACCTGCCAGCGCTGAGATGTTTCCAATACCACTGGATCCAAAGACTTTCTACCCACTGGCCTGTGATCTTCTACGTTCGGCATCATTGCATGTGTTTTGTGAGTCTGAAGAGGACTTTATAGATTGGTTTCGGACATATGAGGTAATATCGGACTTAAGGACTTAATCTGGACTGGGCTAGGATGTTTTCTCAATGTTCAATTGCTCTTGTATATAAATCTCTTTTTAATGCACATATGTGTGTCCATAGATTTGTTTCTCTATTCTACCCAGACTACAGACTAGTAAACCAGGAGATGAGGAATAATATCCCAGTGACAAAAATGATTTGGAAAAGAAGAGAGAGACGCTTTGGATAATAGGGAAAGTTCCAGAGATTAGAGAGGGCTGTTTTACATACAAATACAATACACTATGAAGTAGAGTCTTGAAACTTTTTGTGTATAATCTATGAGATTATGCTTGACCAAAAGAACTTCATTTTTTGTGTGTTTTATGTGACTCCGTTGTGAATATTTAAATTCTCCGTGATGGAATACTGAATGTATTCAAACCAAGATAAGGTTAGGGCTAAGGTAAAAAAAAAAAAGGTTAGGGCTAAGGACTAAGGCAGTTTGCCGTTAATTTCTATTATGTTAGAAATAACAAATCATTATTTTTAAAAGTAACTAACAAAACAACCACTTTCAACTTTATCCCTGGTTGAAAAAACAATATCTGGACATTGAATGACTGTTCTTACTGCTGAAAATTCATTTTTAAAGCGCTTCATAAACTGGGATTTCCATCTAATAGTCATAGCTGCTCTGGTTGTTTAGCCAAGATTGGCCGTCAAAGATTGATAGGCTCAGCCTTTTTGCTCCTCGCAGGAGTTAGAATGAAAGCGTTCAGTATATTGCCTCACTTTCAGATAAGTAGTTTCATGTGATAGCATTTTCTGTGCTATTTTTATTAGGGGGAAAAAAACTGTAAAAGTTGCTTTTTTGGTCCATTTTTACTGTCTTGGCAATATGCGAAGTAAGACTTGATGGTGTTCTTCCTAGTTTTTCCAAGACAAAACTGTTGACCTACCAAACCTCGGTTGAATATCTGGAAGTCCATATTTTCATAACTGAGACTTGTCAGTCAGAGTTTAGCAGATTACCTTAAGTAAACAAATTATAAATGGTACAGATTTTTGATTCAAACTGTTAGCTGTGTTTTGAAACTGTACTTGATGTCCCTTCCTCCTGTGTTCTGTGTCCCCTCTTCGAAGAGTGGGAAGGATAGAAGGTCTAGAACTGCGGTTCTCAGTCTGTGGGTAGCGACCCCTTTGGGAAGTTGAATGACCCTTTCACAGGGGTCGCTTAAGACCATCGGAGAACGCATACATATTTCACAATATATAATTACATATTGTTTTGTGATTAATCACTATACTTTAATTACTGTATATACTTAAGTATAAGCCGGTTTTTTTCAGCACATTTTTTATGCAGTTTTTGTGCTAAAATTAGGTGCCTTGGCAGATATTCGGGTTGGCTTGTCCTCGAGTATGTATGGTTTGTTTAATTATGGTCAATTTGTAACAATGAAAATACATCCTGCATATCAGATATTTCCATTGTGATTCATAACAATAGCAAAATTAGTTATGAAGTAGCAATGAAAATAATTTTATGGGGAAAAAAAGAAAATAATTTTATGGTTGGGGGGTCACCAGAACCTGAGGAACTGTATTAAAGGGTCACGGCATTAGGAAGGTTGAGAATCACTGGTCTCGAAGAACAAGGCGAGGAGGAGGTTCTTTTTAGAATCTTAACCACGATCAGCTCTGAGTCAGGGGTGAATAAACGGAAGAGTAATGAATCCTGAAGTGGTTTAATATCATAGAATGTTTAATATCAGTGAAGCTACAGAAAGCTCCATTTTATTTATTTATTTATCGTGGCATAGCGTATTACTATGCATTGGGCCGCTAACCATTAGGACAGCCGTTCAGAATTATCAGCTGCTCTGAGAGAGTAAGAGGAGGCTTTATACTCATGAAGTTGTACAGTCTCAACCCCACAGGAGCAGTTCTATTCTGCCCTCTAATCTCGATCTGAGTTGGAACCAACTCCATCACAGTGAGTTTGGAGTTTTTGTGTTTACTTCACACTGATGGAAGAGAAGTTGGAGTGTGGCTTGAAGATAGAGGCATAAGTCTTCAACTTCTCATCTCAGTGGTTCAGGAGAAGAAGGCATTCCTTAACCTGTAGAACTAGGGAGACTTCGAAAACCACCTTTGTTCCCTGAAGGAGCTAAAGTAATCTCTTGTCTTCAGCCCTATCTCTTGTCCATTCCTGTCATTATCTTGATCTTTCTAATCTTACTTGCTAATCCATGTTTCATTTCAGCTGAGCATATAAATAGCTTTCACATGAGCTTCTCCAAGGCCCACACAGAGCCTTTGAATATGGCTTTTTGTATATAGCTAGTATTACTACTACTAGTACTGACAACCCAGGTTCACAGTCTCTTATCTATCATTTAGAAATCTAGAAGGCTCTGAAAGAGTTTTATTTTTTTTTCCTCCCCTAATTTGGTGCCACAACTCATTAAACTGCAAAATTCAACCTAAACAGAAGTGTTTTCTCCTCTTTATTTACCACAGTGTAAATACTAATTTGTTTCACTGCAGAAACATTAATGTATTTGGTTACACGGTTCTACTCAAAGTGTTTGACATCTGAGCATTTGGAATGACAATTGAGGGCTAATATACTAAATATTTTAAATTTAGCCCTCATTAATAAAGTTAATGTTTTTTTAATTATCATTTTGCATATGGGAAAAGCGTGGCACAAAGAGGCTACATTCACAAGTAGGATAGTGGAATTCAAACCAGCAATAACACAGGAAAAAGGAATAAGGAATCCAGACTGGGAAAAAGAAAAATATCTCTTATTCACAGATTGATGTTCCTATAGGAAGAGGCGTCAAAAAATTCAGGGAAAAAATCCATTATCTTTTAGTTTATTTTTTCTACAAACTCTTTGAAGCTCTCTCAAATACAGAAAGTCCCAAGGAGTCCAAAAGAAAATTTCTAGTGCTAATAGTGAGTTTTAGCAAGGTTGCAGAGTATAAGGCAAACAGTAAAAATTAGTTGGTTTTCTTTACATCAGCAATGAGCAATTTGAAAGATATATTAGCATAAAATACCTAGGAAGAAATTAACCAGGGTTATCACGGACTTCTACAAGGAAAACTATGAAATACTCCTGAATGAGATTAACGAAGCCGTACATAAATGGAAAGATGTTCCATGTTCAAGGGTTAGAAAACTTAATAATTTTAAGATGTTCAGTATTACCCAAAGTGAGCTAAAGATTCAATTCAGTCCTAATTAAATCCAGCCTTCTTTGCAGAACTAGGAAAACCAATCCTCAACTTTATATAGAATGATAACAGGTTCTGAAAAGCTGAAGCAATGATGAAAGACAAGAACAAAATAGGGGGACTCACACTTCCTGTTTTTAAAACGTACTATAAGCCTACAGCTATCAAAACAGGTTGATGCTAATATAACAATAAACCCAATATAATGAAATATATAATAATCTAGGATTAAATCCATACATCTATGGCTAACTGATTTTTCACAAGGATGCTAACTAAGTCCATTAGTGGGGGAAAGAAAATCTCTTCAATAAATAGTGCTGGGAAATTTGGACTTCCACATGCAGAAAAATGAAACAGGATCCTTGTTTCACTATCCACAAAAACAAATTAAAAATTATCTAAATGTGCAAACTGCAAAACTCTTAGAAGAACAAGCATGGGCAGTGCTGATAAGCCTAGCTATTCACAATGGATTACCCAACATGATAAAAAAGCACAACTAGCAAAATGCCAAAATGGGACTTCATCAAAATTAAAAACTTTCGTTCATCAAAAGACTTAAAAAAAAAAAAAGTGAAAAGACAAGCTACTGACTTGGGAAAATTCTTCAGAAGCCACATATATGATGACAAACTAAAAACAACAACAACAAATTCCAGAACTTTACAAATTAACAAAAAGACAACCTAATCATAAAATGGTACAAACACACTAGAGTAGACATTTCAACAAGGAGGACATTCAAATACCCACCAAACACATGGAAAAAATGCACAGCATCACTAGTCATCAGAAGGATGCAATCAAAACCACAACAGGATACCATGTCACTCTTCATAGGGTTCCAAGGCCGTAATCTTTGCGGAAGCAGACGGCCACATCTTTCTCAAGTGGGGGAGCACTGATGTCTCTTGGTTGACAGCCAAGCACTTAACATAAGTGCCACCAGGGCTTTGAGAACTGCTATCCCGTCCACAACTGTCAAGTGAGACTCATAGCAACTCTATAGGAGAGTAGAATGGCTCTTTAACGTTTCCGAGGCTGTCAATCTTTCTAGAAATAGGCAGCCTTATCAGTTTCCCTCTTAGTGGCGAGTGGGTTTGAATTATAGTTTGTTGCATTTAGCAGCCTAGGGCTTATCCCA